TACAAAATTAGCTCCGGTGTGATCCTGCCCTGATGCACTAGCCGGCCAAAAAAGACCATGCTACAGGGTTTTCAATTCCTCCTTGACACCCCACTAACACAAAGGATTTTTCGATTTCTATTTTATTTGACTTGGAGCTGTGGCTTCTCCGTCGCAACTGACCCACTTGATTGAGGACTGGATTTCACTTTTTTCATTTTTGTGAATATTATCAATTTCGGGATTGGCTTTCTTCTGCAATTCTTGATGCTTCAGCCGTTGTTGCACTATTTCTCGTATTTGTGACAGTTTCACCCATGGAACACAAACGAGACGCGACCGTGGCGGGCTTGTCTTGGCCTGCGAACTCTACTCGTGGACTCGCTCCTACCGACCCAGTTCAAGTACCAGACGCCTCGACTTCTGCACTATGTCACTCAGGAGCTCCCGACACTACGACCAACCCTACTCCGGCACCTTTGGTAACTGACAGTACGGCACCTGCTACGGGTACACTGGCCCATTCTGATACATATTCAGGACCAGCACCTCCTGGCGTTCCATTTCCGACAGACTCAAGTTCTACACACAACTACTTCCATCGTGCTCAGTTCTCTTCTCGCGTGGTTCACCAGATCCAATTCAAGGTCATTACCCACTCCAACAACACCAGGGAGCTATTCATTGAAGAAATTCCTTTGTTAGGGCATTCCCGATGTCGTGACCCTGAACACTATTTCTATGGTCTCTCCGGCAACTGGGAGTGGTCCCTGCGCACAGCGGACTATTGGCGACATCATTTTGAGATTCCCCTTGTACATGGACACCATCCTTTTCACAATGTGCCCATTGAGACCACATCTCCTGGAGATGAACCAAGGCTGACCACCCGGATCCATGAATTAGCCAAAGATCTATCTGACACCTTGAAGGCTGCTACGGCATCGGGGGAATTCGATCAGACTTGGGCGATGGTTGAACGCATGAGCTTCCACGATGCTATGGAAGTCCTTCTACAAGCTCCGAATTCCTCTTCTGACTGAAGTGACCGCCCTTTTGTACATTAGGTTATTACAGGTTCACTTTCACTGGTGTCTTGCCGATTCCGCCAGCGAAGTTCTTCCAAAAAACCGACCTCGCTACATGCGAGGTGTGTGTGTGTACCATCTGAACAGATGTAAAACTTCTGATTGGTTTTCACTAATTTGCAGGGGGCACCTGGAGCATGGATAGGTCAGGTGCCAACGAAGACACCTATCCAATGCTTGTGATATCACGGCTGATCACCGTGACGTACCTGCCAATTTACTGAAATGGGAAGAGGCTCAACCCAAGAACCTCCACGTCGTCCATTTGAAATTTCAATTTACTGCACTGTTGACGCAATCTGGAATCAATTTTGACATTTACATGCATCAGAACCTTCCTCAGATTTTCGCCGAAACCATATCGCCGACAGTATTATGTTTTTTGACTTATTTTCGCCGAGATCCTGTCGCCGACGAACTATGGGTTATTTTGGGAAACAATCGCCGAAACATTATTTTGGATTTCAACATGCTGGTCAAAACTCTATGGAATCTGGTTATGACTACGTTTGACAATTTCGGATGCCCTACATCGTTTGCGAGAAGTACCTCATGTGGCTCTTTTATTCATCTAATAATCTAGGCTGGTTTGCATGTTTCAGGATTCAGTTCCTGCCGGATCATATAATGATCCATTCTTGTCTAGTGTGTGGAACATCTGAAAAGATGTAAAACTTCTAACTTGCATGTGACTCGTTTTTCGCCTGAAGTTCAAATCTTAGTTTGATTTTCTACTTGAATTTCTGCAATGGTTTCCAATGTGAATTTCAGCAGGGGGGCAGTGAATCTCATTCCATCCACTGCCCAACGAAGACGGTGGTTTGAGATTGTGATATCGGGACTGATCATCCCGACGTACCTGCTTCAGTTTCATGTCCATTTTCTGCAATGGGACGTGGCTAACCCAAAAACCACCACGCCGTTTCCAAATAATTTGTTTTTATTTTCCTCGTTTGCACGGTTTTCGCAATCTGAACTACTGCCGACTATTTCAGATGGAACAGTTGCTTCTAGCTAAGGCCAAACAGGGATTACTTTTCGATCTTTCTCAGATCGTGTCATCAATCCTTTCCTGTCAGGTTTAACTGAGGTGTTTTTGCACGTACGTGCATTCCACATCAATAATTCGATAAGCTATTTCTGAGCAAGTGTGTGTGTACCATCTGTATAGATGTAAAACTTCTTATTAGTGCAGGGGTCGCTGGGGAACATTGCAGTCAGCGGCCAACGAAGACGCTGCAATGTTCCTGTGCAAACGTACCTGCTTTATATATATATATATACATATATAGTCCCGCCCCCTGGGCGCATATAAGACGCAGCTGGGGGGGGACATATATTTTATCGCTATTGTTTTATATGGTCAATGTCTACTGTGATTATACGTCTTTATATAATTATATATAACGTCATTCTTCGTGTCAATTTATTGTTGGTGTTTTTGCACGTCCGTTGCATTCCACATCAGAATTCGCAAAGATTGTTCTGAGCAAGTGTGTGATTCATGCTGGATTCGTCACAGTGGCATGAACCCCTCCGGGAATGCTTGCCTAAGCAGGAGAGCGAAGCAACGACCTGATCTTTGAATTTACAATTTTCAACCTAGTAATTCGGTTAAGTAAATTGAAACAGTCGGCCATTTTTCATGTTCTCACTCGTCGGTCGTTGTGTTGAAACAGCTTGCCGCCGTTTGGGCATTCACCTTTTCAATTTTCAACCTAATACTTCGTTTAGGTAATGTGAAACAGTCGGCCATTTTTCATCTTCTCACCCGTCGGTCGTTGTGTTGAAACAGCTTGCCGCAGTTTGGGCACTCACCTTTTCTTGCATGAGGTTTAGGCTTCAGGACATGCTTTAGGTGCGGTGCTTCTTTCTTTTGATGGTCTCTGGTACGGTTCAAATGTGCACATAATTCAAGGGTGACGACTTAAGCCGTTTATAGGGTTGTGACTTGAAGAGAAGGCCATTGAGCCTGAATAGGGGAATTTGCATGTCATGTGGATGCATCATTTCATTAACTAGTCCCCCATGGGTGCCCTTTTTCATGTGTTCCTTCCCCTCTCCAGGTAGGTTGGATCCTGCGCGTGCCGAGGTAGGCTTAGGTTTCGCCGTGGTAGGTTGGTTCAGGCGCTTCCGTCCTCCCCCTCCTCCGCTGGTCTGGTTCCGTTTCCGTCGGCCTCCGTTTTTTTCTCCCCTTGCCCTTTCAGGGTTTGCCCGTTCTGGGCCAGGTGTGTTGTGTTGGTGTTCTCTCTTTCTCTCTTCCTTTGCGTTCCCCTCTTCGCGTCCCGGTTAAGTAATTTTCATTTCATTTTCATTTTCATTTCACTTTCATTGTCATTTCATCCGCCACGCTGCTGCGGGGCGTGTGTGTGTACCATCTGTATAGATGTAAAACTTCTTATTAGTGCAGGGGTCGCTGGGGAACAATGCAGTCAGCGGCCAACGAAGACGCTGCAATGTTCCTGTGTAAACGTACCTGCTTTGTATATATATATATACATACACATATAGTCCCGCCCCTGGGCGCATATAAGACGCAGCTGGGGGGGACATATATTTTATCGCTGTTGTTTTATATGGTCGATGTCTACTGTGATTATACGTCTTTATATAATTATATATAACGTCATTCTTCGTGTCAATTTATTGTTGGTGTTTTTGCACGTCCGTTGCATTCCACATCAGAATTCGCAAAGATTGTTCTGAGCAAGTGTGTAGGTGCATGCAGAGGTAGAGTGTGGAGTGTGGAGTGTGGGGTGTAGAGTGTGGAGTGTGGAGTGTAGATTTTGAACTGTAGAGTGTTGAATGTGGAGTGTGGGGTGTAGAGTGTAGAGTGTGGGGTGTGGAGTGCGGAGTGTGGAGTGCAGAGTGTGGAGTGTAGAGTGTGCAGCGTATGTAGAGTGTAGAGTGTGAGATTCGAATGCGGACTGTAGAGTCTGAGTGTAGCGTGTGGTGTGTGGAGTGTGGGTTTTCAAGTGTGGAGTGTGGAGTGTACGTCTCTTTTAAGTGAACTGCATTCGGGTTCTTTGGTTGGTTTTGCTTGTTTTACCATTCGCCAAGCATATGGATTTGTCCGAAAATGGGGCATGGCCCAAGTTTGCCATGTGAGTAGGGACAGGGATGATTACATGACCGGTGGTTTTAAAGACACCCTATGTTCATAGTCATCCTGTGCGATTGGGAAGAAGGAGAAAAAGAAGACGAAGACGAACTGGCAGCCGCAGCTTCCCACGATCTCAGCAACGAACTTGGGGAAGCAAGAAAATCGCGAAAAAAAACGTATGATATCATCTGATATTATGCCCTGATATGCCCTGATATGCACCGGAATTTTGATCAGCACCAGGATGAATTCCTGTCAGCCTATATAGGCGGAATGCCACCAGCGCCTCACTGCACGCTTCAGCGGCAGCCTCTTTGATGTTACGCCTTTGGGCATGGGATTCAGCTGGCGAGGGGAAAAATTAGAATTTTCATTGGCAAATCGCCCATAAGGGGTAAACCCTGGTGTAATGGGCACAATATTTGCGGTGACCAAATAGAAGTTGTGGAGATGTGGCTGGGTCACTGGTGGTGAGTTTGACCTGTTGTCGTGCACCGCATGATGCATCATCCTCGATACCCTTCTCCTGGGGCCCCTTCGATCTCGGAGATTTAAAGTCTTGTCTGAAAGGCATGAAAGGCACCCCTCCCACTCCCTCCTTGCGTCTGGACTTTGCTGAGCAGCTAAATTTGCTACTGACAGGTCATTGTATCCAAACGACTTGCAGGATATGCCACCAGCGGCAACCCTAATAGCCACAGACACCATCAGCCATTTTTTCAATCTGGTTTTTGAGTCAACATGAAGAGTTGATTTTTCCATTCTACCACCTGGAATCAGAATTGACCAAGGCCTTTGGGATGGGCTCTTAAACCATCAAACGTTCATAAACTTTCAGCGCCACTGGGAAGCGAAATCTCGCAATCGGCCATGGAGAGCTCTCCTTGCCCGCCATGCATGGAGCCGCCCAATATGGGCGCAGAGATCAGCACATGGGACCTGCTGAAGGTGGGGAAACTCACCGTTGACCGTTCCGACGTTGTGCTTGGATGAGAACCCAGCCATGAACATCGCTCTGTTGACGAAAGAAAGGTTGCAAGCTCCGTGGTAAAAGAGGAGTTGTAGGAGACTGGCTCCAGGTTTCGCTAGCGAAAGCAGCGGAAAAACCAATCCGGCGGGTGCCTTTCAATTTGAATATTGTTCCTAGTTTTCAAGCTGAACAAAAACCTTTGGGATGATGGTGCCAACTGACCGAAAATCGTTTTTTTCTTCCTCCAATTTTTGAAACGCCCAACTTGCAGATATCGGGAGGCCATCAGCGCGTTTCACGATTCCTTAGCTGTCCAGCTTTCTGACTTGGCAGCACAG